TTTGAATTCCGCCTCGGCCATCGGCTGCCCAAGTAGTGAACATCGCGAGCTCAGGATCTGAAGCGAGGGGAAACGCTCACCTGGCTGCTCGACTGCTCTGCGCAGATTATCAAGATCGACTGTTCGCTGATATAGAGCTGAGCCCCGCAACGAATGGTGTGTACAATACACACTAGCCTGTGTGGTCTTGGACACAAATCTAAAAGCTACAAAATCCAGGTCAACGATGAAATATTTGTGGCCAGTGTGAAATTCAAGCTTAGAGCTTAAAGAAATGTTATTATGGGGACGTAGTGTTTAACCAGACCCATGCTTGTTTTTCCCATGCCTGCAGCCGATAGCCAGCCGCTGTGCGATGGAAGGGGAGGTCTGGAGGACTTGATGAAGCTCAGGGTCCAACTGTGATGTGCTTCTCTGCGCTGTGGGCCGACTTCCAGCCTAAAGAATGAGCGGTCGGAAGTGTCCATATCCAACTTTCCGGAGATATTTAAGGTAAGAACAATGGTCTGGAAACCTCTCATTCAAGCCTGCCTGTTCGCAAGGAATGAGCTCCTTAAAACCTTCCAGGTTACCCTTGTTTTCAGAGTAAGATAGGTTGTTTGAATGTAGCTGCCGGCGTTCGCCCTCGAAAGTAGACGTAGAATAGCGTTGCCAGTCCGGGCGAGGTCTCAAAAAGCTATGCCTGAAGTCGACAGCCTCCAGTCGCTGGACTCGGTTGCAGTTTTATAAAGAATGCACAACAGCTGTTAATCGTTAAGTGTCGATATGCTACTAAGGTAAGATACATTTGTCCTGCCTCAAGATCAACTTTATTGTTTCACAGGATTACAGGCTACTGAGTTCAGGCAATGCTTTTGAACCCTCCCCCGGCTGCCATCGGCTATTCTCGGTCTACTTTCGAGGCAAGCCGCAGCTCATCTCAAACAAGCCTAATTACTAACCAATCATGCAAAGCACTAGCAACACGGCGCCGGGTCGCAATTGCGCAGGTCTGCGTCGGTCTGCGCTATCTCAACGATGACATTGGCTTACAAACGAGGCTAATAGCTTGGACCTAACAGCGAGGCGTTAATGTTGAAATCTACCGATGTTGTCACATTGACATTAAAGGCGCATATGCATAAGAAGACAATAAGCGTGACCCGTGGAATAATTGTACAAGGTGCCAGCTTTATTCGTGGCGTGAAATTAAAGTAATTGGACCCTGGTGTAGTTTCGGATTTTAGGCTGTATAACTGTCTTGCCGGATTTAATCTCAGCTTTCAAACAATCATCCTGCTGAAGAAAACCAGTATACTCAATATGATAAAATACATAATAATATGCATTACCATTTTTCTTATTAGAGCGCTGGCTATTTACAGGTGCTCACAAGCCGCTTTACACATTACACGATATTAGAACATGTAAGAGTCATATACTGCGACACAGGAGGCAAAATACGGGTAAAGTGTCTTGCCAGGACAAAACGGCCTGACGCAGTGGCGGCCAAGGCGGATCAACTGGAAGTTCACCAACACCCTTAGATATATACTACTATATATATTATAATTATGTATAGCGATATATACCAACGTAGTATTATATATATACGTATAATAAAGTATATAGTATATATATACAATTATACTATGGTATATATATATAAAAAAAAAAAAAAAAACAAAAAAAAAAAAAAAAAAAAAAAAAAAAAAAAAACAAAAAAAAAAAAAAAATAAAAACAAAATCCTCACTATCATAAATCTTAAGCTTATTTTCTGCAATAATCAAAATTCCAATTGAGAAATCCTGTTCTCTTTTGTTGAGTGAACCAGTGTGAAGCTAACTTCCTGGTAAGCCTAAAAAAATATGCTACCTGCAGCGCGAAACCCCCACTTAAACTCTCAGGGTCTCACCTGTATCACACAGCTTGTTTCATAAGGTTGAGTGTTAATATCTTGTTTTTTTCTGCCATTGTCTTTGTGTTAAGATTTTAGTTTTATGGACTAAATATCTTTAGTATTTTGTCTCATCTCACTGAGTGTCTATCTGTTTGTGTATCTGTTATTCAGGACTCCAAGGCGTACTTCCACCTGCTCGAGCAGATTGCTCCAGACGGCACCAAAGAGGACGTTCCACGGATTGAGATCGACATGAGTGGTGTTTATGTAAGTTGTTGAGCCATTCGTTTTATGTAATATGCAAGTTTTCATCTTAAAGAAGCAAAGTCTAATACTGTATGTATGTTAATTAATGTATCTTTTATATTTGATTTAGTCTTTAATTACTCAGACATAAGGAGAAACAAACATGCCACAGAAAGTGTTTTACAATGTTACGATGTCTAACCCTAACTCTAATTGAAATGGATGTCATGCATGCCAAATGCCAGTTTACCCAACCCAATATACATGTCTATGTGTCTCCAGGAGAAGGACCTCAGTAAGAGAGCGGAGTGTATGCTGAAACAGGCCGACCGCCTCGGCTGCAGACAGTTTGTGACGGCAACTGATGTTGTGAGCGGGAACTCAAAGCTCAACATGGCCTTCGTAGCCACGCTCTTCAACAAACACCCGGCTCTCACCAAACCAGAGAACCAGGACTGGAATCTGGAGGGTAAGCATGGACGATAATCTCCCTCGCACTGATACATTACTCACGTTCAATCCATGGAGGTGTAAAGAGAACTGGACTCAGCTTGGAGGCGGGCATCGTTCATGCCTTTGAAGTTTCTCAGTGGCGCATGAAGCCAAAATGGCCTGACTTGAGAACATTAATCCTGATCATCCGGGGTTTTGGGCCCATAATGCACCTCATTTTCGCTAAGCCTCGCCTCCAATCGCTTCATCACTAGGCTCAGTCAAATCACTGGAGAGGGAAAATAACTCTAGATTTTCCATTTTTAGGACCTAATAATTTATATAAATAAGGGCTGATAAGGGGTTGATTATTAAAAAAATATATATATATGCTGATTTACAGACATCTCTTTCTGAATTTAAGTCAATAGGAAAAGCCAAGCCCTCAGAAAGCAAATTTTTGTATTAGCCAAACCTTGGTACTAAAACTTCCGCGATTTCGTTGGGCCTAAAAATACGTTTTGCCATTGACTTACATTGGGAAAGAGACGTCTGTAAATCAGTGTATAATTGATACTGCGTATTGGAGGTGAGGTTTAAGCAAATCGCAAGTACGCATGCTCTATGGGCCCCGACACAGTTACTATTGCTCTCTTGATTCAGGCCATTTTGGCTTCATGCGCCACTGAGAAAATGTCTTAGGATTCACCAGGGTCCCGCCTCCAACACTGTATCCAGTTCTGTATACATCCATGGCTCCTTCATGAAGTAAATATAACTTCCTGTGCAGCCCTGAATCTGAGTCTTATATCATCTCTGAAGGTGAGACCAGAGAGGAGAGAACCTTCAGGAACTGGATGAACTCTCTGGGAGTGAATCCTCATGTCCACCATATCTACGGGTCAGTACCCCTCTGTGTGAAAGGACTTTAGCTTTGTGTTGACTGTCACTGTTTAAATGCATGCATGTGTGTTATAATGCAGGGATCTGATGGATGCCATGGTGATCCTCCAGCTTTATGAAAGGATTAAGGTGCCAGTGGACTGGGACAGAGTCAACTTGCCTCCATTCAAGGGAGTAGGAGGAGGACATTTAAAGAAGGTACATGTACATACTACCTTCAAACTCCTACTGAAGTTGATCAGGATACAATTAAATGAAGTATGAATGATTCATCCTCAAAAGTTATTATTAAAATGAATGTATCATACATGTTTACAGATATTGTATAACTTTTATGATTAGGGAAGTCTCGATTAAAAAAAAAGAAGGTTGATATTAATAATATTGAAAATCCACAATTCTCGATACGTTAAGAAAACAAAACAATATATCCCATGTGCTTCAAACTAAAATCCTTTATTTTTGTTTGCATACTGTTTTTTCTTTTGTAGTTAAACAGTTGATTTCCTCTCTAATAACTATTTTATTTTTGTTGAAAAAGGTTCTCCTCTAAAGATTACAATTGTACACGTCATGATAATGTTTTAATTAACCTTCACCGAGTAACAACTTTAACTGGAGAGAGCTTGAACGCACCTTTACGTAACCTAATGAAACCTCTGTTCACCAGCTGCTAACAGCTAATGCTAACTTAATCACAATCAGGATTTTTCTGAAGTTAGCATTAGCTGTTAGCAGCTAGCATCTAGCAGTTTTAGACAGTCTGTCTTTCGAGTGCAATCCTAAAAATTGTATTTCTACCATCCCCGGGACATCTTATCCCTCACATCAGCTTGGAAAAACAGTCCAGTGTAGGTTCGAAGTTTCCGTCCTCTTGACTTCGCTTGTGAACCAACAATGTAAACAAGGGTTAGGGTCAATACATTAAAAACGATTCAGATCTAATTAAATATGGTTATGTTCCAATTACATATTATGGTTGGGACTGGGAGGTTAAAATACCCTAAGTTACTCTAAAGCAGGAGCTACTACATAAAGAGTGTCTGATATAATTTTGAAAAGGTGATATAGTCATTTTCCGAAACATACAGACCGTGTGTGTGTGTGTGTTGTGTGTGTGTGTGTGTGTGTGTGTGTGTGTGTGTGTGTGTGTGTGTGTGTGTGTGTGTGTGTGTGTGTGTGTGTGTGTGTGTGTGTGTGTGTGTGTGTGTGTGTCCATGTGTTCATCAGAGGGAAAACTGTGCCTATGCTGTGGAGCTGGGAAAGACAAAGGCTGGTTTTTCTCTGGTGGGAATTGGAGGACAGGACCTGTACGATGGAAATACAACTCTCACTCTGGCTCTGGTGTGGCAGCTGATGAGGAGGTGATTTAATCTCTCAACAGTGAAACTTCACTTTTTCACGTGCTTATTGACATTATTTTAGAAAATCACCAGAAACTAGAAAAAAAAAACACTTTCAGACTCTGAAGCAGGTAGAGGGCGCTGAAAGGCTAAAGATCACTTCCAACATGTTCATTCCTTTTAGTGATGCCATAGAGAAAACAACCTCACTCAGAAATACTCCGCTTTGTGATAGAAAGCAATCGGGTTTATGGGAAATATAGCATTTGAACGATTTTTTCATATAACTTATACAACGTACAGAATTGTTAGGTTACCAGCTTAAATGAGTTTCTCCTTCTTCATCAGTTACAGCTAGATATTATCAAATGTTGTACTGTAAAGTCCCTAACTATTTCAGTAAATGATTTTACCCCAAGCTCCATACTTCACCAAAAGTATGATTTGATTTGATTGCTGATATTCTAACGTATGCTCTTATAATCCCTGCAGGTACACGTTAAATGTTCTGGAGGACCTGGGAGAAGGAGAAGTAGCAGGAGATGAGTTGATCATTTCATGGGTCAACAAGACGCTGGCTGAGGCCGGCAAGAGTTCCTCTATCAAAAGCTTTAGGGTCAGTTTTGATTTAATATCTACTGTAGCCCTTCTTAGGGTAAATTTAGCTTATAATAAGTCCGAAGTAAACAGTCGAGCTACAACACATTTACAGACCCTTTAGCATTCTTTTCTATCACACTTTAGATCCAAAGTCCTGGCTTGAAAATTGTAGAATTATAGTTCAATTTTTTCTACCAGAGTAATCAGGTCTGTCACGTTTGCAATGCTTCTTTCTTTGGTTTCTACTAGTGTTAATGCTACTGTATTATGTGTTTGATGTAATGCATCACAAACTGATCATTGACATGTCCGAGACTGTGAAAAAACACAGCTCTTTGTTTACCAACAATAATGAAATTGTTCACAGTTTTATTTGAAAGAAACAGTAGTGCTCTGTTGACAGCCTAGTTGTTTTGAGTGTATTTGTCATTATGTGGAGTGTGTGTGTGTGTGTGTGTGTGTGTGTGTGTGTGTGTGTGTGTGTGTGTGT